TCACATCCTGCCCTCCGGGGCCGCCCTTAAGCAGCATAGGGTCGGGCTTGAGTACCGACGCCTTGGGCACCGACGACTGGCCAAACAGCTGATGCTGATCGCAATTGTCGACCACGTGTATTTTCCAGCCCAGATTCCGATGCGTGTAACAGTGATAGTAGATCAGGTCGGGCGTTTGATTGTCCGGGGTGAATCGGAGTACACCGGAATTGCCCTGAGCGCAGTCCAGCGATAGCGAGCGTTGAAAGTCAAAAAAGTTTGAGTAGTCGTCGGGCCGGCGCGGGTCCCGGAGGTTGACTTTCCACTCGCAGAGTCGCCCCTCACTGGTGGGCAGAATAGTGCCGTCCGGTGTTATGCCGACGCCGCCGAAGATCTGCTCGTTCTGGCGCTCGGCGTCCGTCTTGTGGTCGAACCCGCCGTCCGGATCGTCGGACAGGTAGAGTGGGTGCCGACGGGCGCTGTTGTTTCGCTCGTTGCCGCCCTCAACGATGAATGTGTATGTTTTGCCTGCCATAAAGAGAGTGTATCTAGTTATATAATTGTATTTAATTGTTTCATAGTTGTACCATGTTTATGACGTTTAAAAATTAATTAATGATAAAAGCTATTTGAGTTAATAACTTTAATTATAACAATATTTACTACAATCCTATCCTTTAATAAATATACTAGACATAGTGGTATAATTATTTTAACTATTAAACATTTTATTACAGTTTGTTTGATTAGTGTTGTTTATTTTATCCTTACAGTTATCGTTAAAATGATTCTTATTTTGTTATTACATTAGTTATTTAATTTTACCCAGATAGTTAATAAATAAATAGTTTAGCTAACAATAACGTCAACTAACCTCTTTGCAAAGTCAGTTCCGGAATCAACAATCCATTAATGTACCATGCTAGACCCCAGCCAACTTTGCCGGTAATGGACTGGTAACCTTTGGTACCGCCGGTGGGGCCAATCTGGGCCCTCAGTGTGGTATCGGCCGGGCATACAATGGGAGGCACTCTCCAGGCATTAGGGTTAGGCCGGGGGCCCGCCTGAACCTGTTGAGGTTGAGGCTGGGGAGGGGGCGGTGGGGGAGCGG